CTGGCCTTGAGTTCACTTTGTAGCCCAAGTTGGTCTCGAATTTGCAATGATCCTTCTGCCTCAGTCTCCTGAGTGCTGGGATTACAGACTTGAAAAGGATGCCTTTAGTATAATTGTCAGTTCTAAGCTTTCATTTAAGTTGTTGCTCTTTAGATTTATAGACTAAATATTGTGAACCATTTGATGTCGTAAGTTTGGTTCCTTTACAGCCAGTTACTGTTATATTGGAAGTTATATTTAGAATCCCCAGTGGTACCCCACCCGAGACAGACGTCTGCCATCTATGACACTGGTTACTTTATATGCTACTTGAAAACATTTCAAAATTCTATGCTCTGTAGAGAAGTTAGTGGCGCATATATATAAGATATAGAGATTCCAAAAAGAATCTAAAAGAAGCTTCAGTTAATTTTTGAACAATATTTATTTATTTATTTTGAAGTTTGTTCTTTAGAGTTTGATTAGCTTTTACCTGAATCATGTATAGCTTTTCTGGACGTTTTTTCATTTGAATAAAATAAGAGAACGTGGCCTATATTGGTGGCTTTAACATTTTTTAGTGGTATAAGCGTGGGAGTTTTCCGAGCAGATTTTGTTTTGGTGGTGGGAGTTGGGAAGGCTTTGGGATTTTTGCAGACAGAAGTGGTGCTGCTTCTACTTGTACATCTTTTTGTTTTGTTTTGTTTTTTCCTAATTTCAGGGGGCCTGCCCATTAGCTCAGGTGTTAAGAGCCTGCTGAAACAAAGCAGTCAGGCTCAGGACGCTGTGGTTCGATCCCTGTGTCCTTGAGCCAAACCAGACCTGCCCTGAAGCTGGGGGGCGGGGAGAGGGGCCGCAAAAAACAAACAAACAAACAAAACTCCTCTTAATTTCTACACATGCGAGAAAGAGAAAGCATGCAATACTTTTCTTTCTATCCTGCAAATGACATAATTCTGTTCTCTCTGGGGCTAAATACTGTTCTGTTGTGTGCATATTACAGACTGCATTTTGTATCCACTCATCTGTTGATGGCACAAGGGCTGCTTTGTGCCTTAGCTGTTGGGACCCTCCTGGCTCAGCCTCCCAAGGATTAGGATTATGGGTTTGTTATTGTGCTTGGCTTCTACGCTTTTTAATTATGTGGTAGTAAAACAAGGTAGTGCTGCACACATCAGACTTTTTATTTTTTAGTCTATTTCTGCTCCTTTTGTCTGGAACTGAAACACCAAAAACTATATATGTTTTTGTTCTGAAGTAATAATTCATTCTTATGGGCTCCAGCATCATTTTCCTTAGACACATTATTATTTTTCTTAGACACATTACTTTCCTGTTGTCACTACCACAAACATGGTGGGTTAAACAACAATTCTGTTATCTTACAGTTGTTTAGGGCATAAGAGTGGCACAGGCCTGTCTGGGCAAAATCAAAGTGTAACCAGAGCTGCATACCTTCCTGGAGACTGGGGGACTCTGTTTCTCACCGTTCCCAGCTTCTAGAAGTTGCCACTCTTTCCCATGTTCCATCTCTCTGGTTCCCTGGAGAATGGACAAGTGCTCCCCTCTTGGGACATAACACCAATTCTGTCATCAGGGCGCATAAATGTGGGTCTGTCAGACCCTTGTTTATTCTTTAGAATATTTCTATTGTTGAATTATTAATTTTGATTTTATGAGTTTTTATTATATTGAATGAGTACTTAATAGGAAATCTTGCCTTTATTTTATTTATTTATTTATTTATTTATTTATTTATTTATTTATTTTGGTGAAACCAGGGATTGAACTCACACCCTTGCGCTTGCCAGGGAAGTGCTTATTGTACTGAGTGTTTTTGTTTTTTTTTTTTTTGCTCCGAATGCCTTCAAGGCATGACTGGCTGGCTTGTGTTGTGGGGATAGAACCACAGCAACCTGAGCCTGACTGCTTTGTTGAAGCAGCCACTTAAAGAACTGAGCTAAGGGGCAGGCCCCCAGTGCTTATTCTGCTGAGCCATCTCCCCGGCCCCATTATTTTTTGTACTGGGAATCTAACTCAGGACCTTATGCTTGGCAGGCGGGCACTGTACCTGCCGATATAATCCCTGCTGTGTTTAACAGGAAAAGAATCACAAAAATGAAGTATTGAGTTTTTAGTATTTATTGAGTATTCATAAAAAGCATCAAAATTTTCAACATTGACTTTTTTTTGATATACTAAGATTCTTATATAACTATAGTGAAAATAGCACTTTACACACACACAAAAATTTATATCACACCTAAGGCCATCTACACATGTGACAACATACACATGTATCACATTGACAGCACATGTGTTCTGTTTTCCTGTTTTTTTTGTTTTGTTCTGTTATGTTTTGTTTGCTCTTTTTGAGACAGGGTCTGGCAATGCATTTCAGACTGGCCTTGAGCTCAATTTGTAGCCCGAGCGGCCTCAAACTCATAGCAATCCTCCTGCCTCAGCCTCCAGAGTGCCACCATGCCTGGCCTTTCTGATCTTGTTGTGGGACTTACTGAGCATCCCAGGGGTCCTGTTGTTTTTTCAAGAGGTTCTTATATAGTGTGGTTTTTTTTTTTTTTTTTGGAGAACCAGGGATTGAACTGAGGCCCTTGCGCTTGTCAGGGAAGCGCTTATTCTACTGAGTCATCTCCCCGGCCCCTATAGTGTGTATTAAACAAGAATATAAAATATAAATAAAATAACTTATTAAATTCTTAATATATATTGTGCATTTAGAATAAGCATCAACATTTTCACACCAGTGTTTACTTGTTTACAAAACCTAAGAGATAATATCAAAAATATAAACCTTTGTGAACTACAATGTAAAGAAAAGTGTCACAGAAATAAGCCTTGCTTCAATGGCACACCCGAGGCAGTCTTTACATGTCCGTGACAGTTTCTTGTTCCGTACACAAGTATCAGTTACACTGCTAGCTCAGGTGATGGCATATGTCAGTTACACTGCTAGCACGTGTGTTTTGTTTTCCTGTACTTTCTTGTAGGGGAAGTTGACATCTCTTCTGTTTTCCTGTTGTTATAGTAGGTCTTTGTGATGCTGTGCCTGCGTGTTCACCTGTCGGCTCCCCAGTGTGCTCCAGTTTTTTTTGTGTAGTTCCCTGGACAGAAACATTTCATTTTTCCTCTGCTGTACATGGTCTTTTATGAGCTCCAGTTCCAGTCCTCTTAAGAAAATTTCTGTGATGTTTTTCACTTGTTATTTTCTTTATAAAGTATCAAACTTTATGCCACACATATTTAGGATAGAGCAAAACACAACCATTGGCCAGTGCTTTGTGTTTTGAGTGATATCAGAGTTGCTGCCGAACTCAACAACAACAGCTACTCCGCCTTTGGTTTTGTTTTAGAAGTTTCCATCCCAGGCTTTTGTTTTGTGAAGATTTTCCTATCCGTATTTCCATCATGGTGCGGTG